GTCAATACCACATCACACCTACCCATAAGTTTAAATGAAACATTGATTGGCCATTATTAATACTCAATCTTTTTCAAAATAAAGCAATACTTCCATTTACCCTCCCTCTTTCTCTTCCTCTCCTTTACTTATTTTTTTTTTTCTTTCCTTCTCTCAAAAAAAAAGAAATCAACTTGTAAACCTCTAGATCCAGGTCGGCAATGTCTCTCTCATTGCTTGATTTCCTTCCTTCCCTTCCCTCCCTCCCTCCGTCCCTCCCCGCTTCCTCCCTTCCTTCCTTCCTTCCTTCATCCCTTCCTTCCTCCCTACCGCCCTTCTTCCCTCCCTCCCCGCTTCCTCCCTCCCTTCCTTCCTTCAAAAAAAAAAAAAAAAAAAAAAAAAATTAAAGGGGAGAATGTTTAGGTTATACTTTTGAAGGGAAAAACTAGAATTCAAAACTATGCAGAATGATCAAAGAATGTTGAAAAGGAGCATGTGTGCCATTTTTGAGGTGTGTGATATGGGGAGGTGGACAGACAGAGACTCATTTTAAAATATTTTTTCAAGCAGTCCTTTTACCTCAGCCTTCTAAGTAACTGGCATACCACTGCATTTAGCCTTGATGCTACTTTCTGTAAGCTGTTTTGGAAGGCATTTATAGCAAAATGATGTTAATGGATTATTTTAATTTTTTGTATTTTCAAGAAAGGATTTATACCTTTGTAGTCAGATAAAATTAACAAAAAGTTGTTTAAAAAATAATTCTTTTATTTATTGTATGCATTCTGGGTTAACACTCGGTTTAACCTTGCTTCCTCAGCCATCCTGGGACATCCTGTAGCTCATGGAAGAGAAAATTTGGTGTCCATATTTGTCTCTGGGCATGTAAAGAGTGTTCTTGACTCCATTGTATTTGCTTCCTAACTATTTTGTTTAAAGATTTTTTTTTTTCTGTTTACATATGTTGGTTTTCTTTTTCTTTCAGTTCTTTCTGTTTTTTTCTTTTCCTTCTTTGCTTAGATTTTAAATTTTTAGCTTCAGTTTATTTTCTGTTACAGTGTCTTTACCCTTGGTCTGTTATTTGAAAGCATGACTCTTTTTTACTTTTATACCCTGTAAATCATTCATTATTCTTTCTGTATGTTCCACCAGATCTTAGAACTATTGAGAATTACTATGCCAGACTTTCCTGTTTCATTATTTAGTTAAGTCTTCTTACTAAGGGCACATTATCTTTGACAGATATTTCTGAGCTGAGTTTGATTTAACAAATTTATGAGCACTTGCTCTTTGACAGGTACTGCGCCAGCTGTTCTGGTTATAGAAATGAGTATATCAGTTATTAGATTTACAACTTAAAGTTCAACTCACCTCTGTCAGTTTTTAGCTTCATGAAATCAGCCAAATGAATTGCAGTTGTAAATTTTGGACATTGTTGAACCCATTTATTGCTAAGTGAAGGAACAGAAATACTTTATAATTAAAAAGTAGATGTTTAATAAGCTGTCAGCACTTCTAACTCCTCTTAAAAAACTGTTTTCATATCTTGAAATTCTGAAATCTAACATTTAGAAGCAGATCCTTACGAGTTGGATGGTTGGTTAATGACCAGGAAGTCCTTGAAGTTACAGTAGTTGTTGGTTGTTTTTGGTTTAATTTGTTGTATACTTTTTCTGTCCTCTACCATGTTGCTATTAAATGGCAAAATGCAGTCAGTTACAATATATAATTGGTAATTTTGGGGGGACCACTTTATACTAGGAGGGATTTACTGTACATCAGCTATCTTTTGATCTCAGCTATGAATGATTCTGAATGGATTTAAAATAAACATTTGTAATCATATATTTAAAAATCAAAATAACAATATTTCCAACAGCCTAATTTTGATTGTATTTTTTGTTTTCAAAAACTCTGAGAGATTAAAAACCCTTTGAAGGTATTAATTATTTCCTTCTTTATCTCTGACATGTGGTGAGAAGAAGTCTTTTTCTCTGTTATGAAATGGAAACAGGTCCCTACTATTTTATGCGATATTCTGTAATAGTGCCTACCTTCCACCGAGCTTCATGTCTGTAGTCACAAAGTGAGTGGGTGTGCCTCCTTTCCCTGGAACTTTTGAGACTAAGTCCTTTCATAAAACAGCAGGAGAAAAACTAAAGTCATTTCCAGAGTTATTTGCCTTTGGGTTAGTGCTCACAAAGGAGAAAATTGAAGCCTAAGGGAAAATTTTAGAGAGAGAAAGATGAGTGTATGAAAATAGTTTTGCAGTAAATTGACTTTCTAAAAGTTTATTGATGGAGTTCAAGGGCCCTTCTGGCTCTGATAATAAAATCAGCAGGTTATGTTTTCCAGAGTTGAAATGGCAAGCCATTTATCGCCCTATATTTAACTGAAAGATGTTTTTAGGTTAAAACTGAGAAGATAATTGTAGGATTTAATCTAAAGTGATTCATGTGTACATCTGTGTTCATAGAAGTGTGTACTATTATAAATACATACATAAAAATATCAGTGTGCACACATAACTTTCATCATTAGGTGTGGCAGGCAGTATTCGAGCTATGTAATTGATTTTCTCTGCTAATTGATACCTTTGTTTACCTGTGCTTTAAAAATAAACCATTTTGTTATAGAAATATTTAGACAATGTATGATATATTTTTTCCTGCCATTTAAAGTTGAAGTTTTTTTACTCTATAGCAGTACCATGAACCTGTGTCTTCTTTTATAATTGAAAATTTTATTTTACTTTATTCTTTGGTCCGTTGAAGCATTTTATTTGTAAATATGTATTTCATCCCTGGGATTTTCTCTCCTGTGTGTTTTTATGATGCTTATTCATGATCCATGATGTGAGCTGAATTAGTGCAATGAAACCAAGCTGGTGGGATGGAAGCAGATTAGTCTATGATTTTTCTAGATCTTTGCCTTCGATGTCAAATCTGGGGCTGATCGCTTCACGCTTGTTTACAACAACTATTCCACACTGTGAGGTTCACAACAATTTTCCCAGCTCTGTGATCATCAGTGATTTCGGATTTGTCAGTGTACTCATGCTTTGTCATCACAGATGAAGATGACACGAGATGATGACTTTGGAGCACAGTCTAATAAGAACCAGGTGTTTGCCTCTCTTTTCGGCATTCTCGATGGTCTTGAAAGCAGCAGACAGGACGTTTATGCACACCATTATGGTGGCATGGAAAGATGGTGGGAAGAGCTCTCTATGTCTTTGGGTATCTCTATCCAGGGCTCAGGGGGAACTGTAAAGCATTTTCTAATTGTGAGTAAAATGCAGGTGAAAGAGGATGAGGTCATTGAGTGGAAAAAAATGAGAAGACAAAAGAAGTCATAAAACATGAAAGAATGGACAAATCGGTTATGTAATTTATTTTATAAATAGCTAAACCATTATGAAAAGTTATTGGATTTGAGTGCTGTTGCTAGGAACTTGTAGGTTTATACTGGTGGAAAAGAGTTTTTGGGAGGATGCCAGTTCAATTCCTGGTAAATGCTTTCAGTTACTTTAATATCTTATACTTCACTTTTCACATTAGCCTGTGAGTGATTGTAACAATTGGAAATATGCTGTTTGGTTTAGTTCATATCTTAGTCATACTTACATTCTCAACACTGAGCACGGGGCCAAGCACATAATGGATGCTGAAGAATTATTTGAGTAATGATTCCCTGTTTCCCTGTAATAAGTGAAAAGGGAGAAGTTAATGACTGTCATAGTAATCCTCAAGGCCTAGGACAGTGGCTCCCATATTATTTGTACTCAATAAAAAGAATAAAACCTTAAGTGATAATTTTGTCCTCTAACACAGTGAAATTATTAATTGAACCCAAATTATTACTTAACAAACTTTAAGTTTGTTTTTCAAAGTTCTCAGAACATGTTTGTTTTCTATTGGATTGTAAATACACACATACTCCCTTTCATTCCAAAGGGAGTGTGGGAGGAAGATGGGGATATATTGCTGTGGTTGGGGCAGACGTTGTTCACAATTTCACACATCCTTCCAGCCTTCTATTTGAAGACATCTTTTCTGTGGGTGTGGTCTCTTCCCTGCTTCTCCTTTGCCTGCTCTCCTTAGCCACTGCTACTGATGATGTATTTCAGTACTAAAAAGTGACAGTTATGGCTTTGACTTCCCTACCCTTGGACTTGGCTTCGAGAGGCTCTTCTGCTGTAGACAGTGTGGCGAGATGATTTCATTTCTTGAGGGCAGGGAATAAGGTTTAGCTGGCTTGGCATTGCCTGTATTCTTGCACTTAACAGGTGCTCGTAAATGGAAATTACTTTGAAATTTTGTTTTTTATAGTTTTTGTGATTTAAAATTAATGTTTATTTTGAAGAAAGTTGATTTATTAGTTTATTTAAAGTTTATTAGTTTATTTGAAGTTAATCATTAAGACAAGGGGCTTGGCCTTGTTAGGAAAGGTGAAATAGGTAATCAAATACTAAATTAACCTGTTTGACATTTTTAAATCATTTTAATTGTTGTGATTCTCAATGTCATGACATTTATGAGTCTCTTTTAAAGAAAACTAAATGTAGTCAACTTCTGGAATATATCAAAAACTCTAGCTGGAAAAACACAAATAAACAATAGTTAAACCTTTATTCGGTATCATGGCATGGTGTCATTTGATCTTTCTTTGTTGATAAAGTAATATTTAATACAGATACAAAGGAGGATAGTGAAATTGCCTGGCATCATGTTATTACAAGGTGGTCATCCGGTTGATCCAGAATACATTACACTAATTTTTAAAACAGCATTGAATGAGATGACAACAATTTAAGTACTTGGAACCCTAGTAATACATTTTTATACCCCTTTCTGTGACAGTCACCTCTTTATTGGAAGTATACAGGGGAGCTCCAGATGTTTGAAGGTCCAGTGTAAAGAGGGCTCATGACAAAAACAAAAGTGGTAAGGGTGGGGTGTGTAGTGGGACTTCAGCTGGTTTTGGAGAAAGTGGTAACTAGTACTTCTTTTCCTATTCAGCTCCCTTGTGAAAGATGCTTCTCCTGTTCCTCTGATTGACGTTACAAACCTCCCTACCCCTCGAAAATTCCTTGATACCTCTCAGTATTCTACTGCTGGAAGCTCAAGTGGTAAGTATTTAATTCTCCAGCCACTAAGCTTTTTAGTATGCCTCAGTTCCTAGGCAAAGACCTGGGGGAGCTTTCTGGGGGCTGGCCTAGGTTGGGCTGGGCTGGGCTGGTGAGCCTGAACCTGTGATGAGCCCTTAGCAGCCTTCAGAGCAAATATGCACAGTGACTTATTGGGATGTTATCATTATCAGGGTTGAAAAGTGGCAGCCGAACCTGGCCTGCCTTGCGAAATTTAGCTGCATCTGTGTTTTCTTTTCTTTCTTCCCTCCCTCCCTCTCCCTTCCTTCCTTTCTTTCCTTTTTTTTTTTTTTTTTTTTTGATGGAGTCTTGCTCTGTTGCCCAGACTGGAGTGCGGTGGCGTGATCTGGGCTCTCTGCAACCTCTACCTCCTGTGTTCAAGGGATTCTCCTGCCTTGGCCTCACGAGAAGCTGGAATTACAGGCACCTGCTACCATGCCTAGCTAATTTTTGTGTTTTTAGTAGAGACGAGGTTTTCACCATGTTGACCAGGCTGGTCTCAAACTCCTGGTCTCAAGTGATCCGCCTGCCTTGGCCTCCCAAAGTGCTGGCGTTACAGGTGTGAGCACTACACCTGGGCCACCAGCACTGTTTTTTTAAAGTTGAGTTTGAATGCTTTTTGTTAGAGCTTGTGCTTTTCTTTGTGCTATAATCTTTATTACTTCTAGTAGCTTTTACCCAACTGTCTCATGTATTACATTCAACTGCTGGTCCTAGGGAGCTTTTGAGTGTGTGACCTCTGCCCTAGGCCCTCTCCACTCCTAAATGTGCGTGCATCCACCTGTGCACATACAGTCATACCTGTAACACACTTTGAGGAAATGCCTACAAACTTATATTTTCTTCTTTGGGGATATCCAGTATCCTGGTGAACAAGACCAAGCCATTTTGGGGTTATGTTTAAGGTTGAGGGCCGGAGGGTACACTTTGAGTCTGAATACAAAGTTTTAGCAACTCTGGTGGTTTGCCTTAAACCTACGTTTGCAGAGGGTTTAGCTCAACTGGGCTTGGAGAGCTTCTGGGCCTCTGCAGAGAGTTTCTCTGCTCTTTTACCTTTGGGTTGGGAGAGACGAAGACTGAGTGTCTTTTGTGGGATACCTCACAGGTGCTTTCTTGTGGCAGCCAAAATCTTCATTGCTTTTCAAAGAAATTGTAATATTTATTATCATTGTCTTTTCAGATAAAAATTAGTTCTTAAAGTTCTTATTAGTTTGTAGAGCTTGAAATAATGAAAGGGTGGAAAAAAATAGAAAAACAATTTGGATTCAATCAGTACATTTTGTCTAACTAATTGGAAATGTTTCTGTTGAGAGCTTAGTAATATATTGTTGGGGCATATTTTGTTGCCTTTAAAATGCCACTTAAAATTATTTAGGGTTATTTAGGCTTGGGACCTTGAAGTTTATTACTTTAACTACAGGAAAGTATAGAATTTTATATAGATTTTCCTTTGTTAGTTTAATTAGTAGCTGAGTTTTAAAAAATTGCGAACATTTATTTTTATTATGATACTTTTCAAAAGTTTGTACTCCAGCCTCTTCTTGGAGCTAGAAAGGTTTTGTTTTCTCCCTCTTTCTGATGTAGTGTTGCTTTTGAGTTTTAACACTGCTCTGAGCTGTTGTAGACTGTGGAATTATGAAACAAAATGCATTTATAGGTTTGATTTGTAGTTTATCTCTGCCTTTCATGGAAATTACCAATTATTACATCTTTGCTTTTTTATGATGTGAATCATCACTGCTTAGCCTGGTTATATTAATTTATGTAAATGTTGCCAAGTCAGTGGCCAAGTGAAATAAGAAATTTAATTATTTATGAAGAAATGATAGGGCAGGCTTTGCAAATGAACGCTGTATAAATATCAAATAAGGTGAAATATGTCAATTACAGCAAATTTCAGTAGAAACTAATTTTGTTACATCTATTCTTCGTTTTTTTTTGAGACTGTGTCTCGCTCTATCACCAGCCTGGAGTGCAGTAGTGTGATCTCGGCTCATTGCAACCTTGGACTCCCTTGTTCAAGTGAGTCTTCTGCCTCAGCCTCGAGTAGCTGGGATTACAGGCATGCGCCACCACACCCAGCTGATTTTTGTATTTTTAGTAGAGAAGAGAGTTTTACCGTGTTGGCTAGGATGGTCTCGATTTCCTGACCTCATGATTCGCCCGCCTCAGCCTCCAGAAGTGCTGAGATTACAGGCATAAGCCACCATGCCTGGCCCTATTATTCTTAATCTGATAGGCCTTACTATTTGATAGGCACTTTATCTGTCAAGTTCTGGAGTTTGCAGTCATCACTTAGTGGAGTTCATGGTAATGCTCTGACTTTGGTATTATTAGGAATTACTGTTGAAGAACTGCTTGGTAGTTGACTGGGTCTAGGAGCATTATGGAGACTGCTTGTAGAGATAGGTATAAATCTTTACTTATATATATATTTATTTGAGACAGAGTTCTGCTTTTGTGGCTCCAGCTGGAGTGCAGTGGTGCGATCTCAACTCACTGGTCTCCTCCTGGGGATTCGCCTGCCTCAGCCTCCCAAGTAGCTGGGATTACAGGCATGCACCACCACACCCAGCTGATTTTTGTATTTTTTTTAAAAACGGGATTTTACCATGTCGGCTAGACTTGTCTCAAACTCCAGACCTCAGGTGATCTACCTGCTGTGGCATCCCAAAGTGTTGGGATTACAGGTGTGAGCCCCCACGCCTGGCCAGACCTTTCTTTTTAGATGGTTTCATTTCCTTGACTATTTTGAAGACTTCATCTATTGATTTTTTTTTTTTTTTTTTGGTGGGGGACCAAAAAAGAAGGTAGTTAAAAATATATTATTGATTAAAATCAGTAATAGCAGAAGTTAATATGTGTTTAGTGCCTACTAGATGGTAAAGCAATGCCTTAAATGCTCTATGTGAATCAACTCATTTAGTCCTTCAGCAGTCTTTATGAGATGGATATTGTTAGTCCTGTTTTACAGATGAGAAAACTGAGGCACAGGGAAGTTTATAATTGATAAACGTTTACACAGTTGACAAGTAGTTGTGATTTGCTCAGAGCCAGGTTCGATATGCTCTTCTAACCAGTTGGTTTTGCTGAAAACAAGCTAGGTATCCTCTGTGTATTTATTTTCTATGCACACAAACTCAGTTGGTTAAACAACATAAATGTATTATCTTATAGTTTTGTAGGCGAGAAGTCTAACACAAATCTGATTGTGATAAAATCAAAGTGTTGGCAGGGCTGTGTTCCTTTTTGGAGGCTCTAGGGGAAAATCTGTTTCCTTGCCTTTCCGGCTCCTAGAGGCTACCATATTCCTTGGCTCATGGTCCACTTCCTCCATCTTGAAAACCTGCACTTGTGGGTCACATTTGTCCCATGTTGCCCCTCTCTGACCCACTCTTCTTTTTTTTTTCTTTTGAGATGGAGTTTCGCTCTTGTTACCCAGGCTGGAGTGCAATGGCGCGATCTTGGCTCACCGCAACCTCCGCCTCCTGGGTTCAGGTGATTCTCCTGCCTCAGCCTCCTGAGTAGCTGGGATTACAGGCATGTGCCACCATGCCCAGCTAATTTTTTGTATGTTTAGTAGAGACGGGGTTTCACCATGTTGACCAGGATGGTCTCGATCTCTTGACCTCATGATCCACCCACCTCGGCCTCCCAAAGTGCTGGGATTACAGGCTTGAGCCACCGCGCCCGGCCCTCTGACCCACTCTTCTGTGCCTCCTTCCTCTTTTTAAGGACTCATGTGATTAGACTGACTCCACCTGTAAAATTCAGGCTACTCTTCCCATCTCAAGGTCCTTAACCTTAAGCACATCTGCAGTTTCCTTTGCCATGTGACTAATCACAGGTTCTAGGGATTAGGACATGGATATCTTTGAACAACCATTATTCTGTATACCACACTCCGCACTGCCCATTTTATGACTTACCTTTAGGAGCAAGTGTAAAAAAAAATTGACTTTCTTCAAATTACGTAGTGAAATCTTTTTAAGTCATTGCAGTCTCGTCATTAAGACTCTATTAATCTGGATCACATTATTAAAGGGAATTGTATAAATGAGGAAGATTTAAATTATGTAGAGAACTGCACAAAATGTTACTAAATACATATAAAAGTATGGGGCTGATGAAATATACTGTAATAAAAAGCAGTAATTTTCTCTTATTCTTAATAATGAACTGTAAGTCCTAAGAGTCTATTTGTGAAGTGCTCTGCAAGTCAGCCTAGAGAGTAATAGCCGTTTTCAGCAGGGAATTTAACATAGGCTCTTAAAGCTCCCCTCTCATTTTGTGAAATAGTAAGATTGAGGGTATAATCCATTAGAATTGACACTTTTATAGAGGAAGTTCCAGTAGGGAATCCCTGGGTAGTATGGATCTCCCATTGGGGTACCATAAATTAAGGTTGGAGGTGATTCCTGAGAACTTTCAGGTTATTATTAATTAAATGAGAATTTTGATTGCTTACAAACAAATTGTTTTTTACATGTCCTATTTTGAGGTAGAGTTGTGGGTGACTTTTCTGTGAGAGTTTTTTTTTTAATCATAATTTATAAGTTATAGTTTGTAAAATATATCATTTAAATAATGCAACAGTCCTATAAGATAGTTAGGGTAGGTAGTATGTGATTACTAGTATAATTATTGTGTTTATTGAATTTAAGTGTATGATCAGATATAAAACATTTGCTTAAAACATGCAAAGTCCAGGCACAGGTTGGTAAAAGCAAGTAACCCATTAATTAGAAAAATGATTAGCATCCACTTAGCTTTCCTACATATTACTGAAGAAAAGAAATGAGTAATAAAGAACTCAGCAAATAATGGAAAACTCACAGAAGAGTCCCTGTTTATGGAAGAATTGGCATTTTTCTGATGGAGATTAAGTATCTAGAATATGTAAAGAACCTCTATAAATCAATAAAACAAGCTAATAGGATAATAGGCAAAATTATGAACAGTCAGTTTGGATAAGGGAAAAC